GTGGCCCAGGGTACAGGGCAAGAATCGAGAGGGAGAGAGATGAGGTAGAGGCCAGAGAGACAAATGAAGACCCAGAGACAGCATAAAGAGACAGAAAATGGGAAAACTTTGAAAAGGAACTTCAGAGTTAGCAGCATGAGGTGTGATAGAGATTGGAATCCTGGAAAGAATATTTTCATCATGAGAAGATTGCTCTTGATCTCTTATCCTTATTTGTCTTCTTCAACTTAAACACTGCAAGAAGTTTAAGACAATAGTATGCAAAACACACAGTCTGAAAGACAAATGTAATGAAATAATGCATGCATTTTTTCACAGCAAGATTTCAATTCAAGGTCAAGTTTCAATGTAAGCATCAGATTTTAGATCAATAATCAACATTCAGTCGTCCATTCAGTGAATAGAGGATGAACACATTCTGTATAGTTGGGCTTGTGCTACATGTTGGGTTGTAATGGTGAACACTGAAAGAACTTAGATTCCACATAAAACTTTACCACAGCACTTAAGATTGATCTTGTTCTGGAAAGTTTATGTTCCTAAAATCAATCTTGCTTTCAAGACTTTAAGAAAACATTGATATATATGGATATGGATAAATATGTCCTTATTCCTCTGAATAGATTTCTTTGAGCTTCCAATATCGTATATTTTTCTTAGTCTAATTGTCCACTTTCCATTTGTCTCTTTTCAATGGCTATTTTGAAGATTTTCATATTTATTTTAAATAGAAAATGCATTTTGTAGGAAGCTTTTCTGGAATATATATGGGAAATCAAATTTATTCCCAAATAAAATGCTCAATAATACACTTATGGGTTTTTTGGGTTCTTGTTTTTACAGATTTTTCAGCTCTGCCTTCTATTTAGGAGGCAGATGTTAAAGCACAAAGGCACAAGTCTGAGTAGCATGATTTCTTCCATCCTTTTGTTCAAGTTTTGCTAAATATACCTGCCAAAATTCACTGAAGACTAACCTCTGGGACTTGAAAACAAAGAAGGAAGAAAAGAAAAAAAAGACTCCTTTTTGTTTCCAAAGCTGTATTGGGCTTTTATTTAGTTGAAGTTTGAGACCTAAGTGACAACTCCCTGGTATTGTGTATGCAAGTAATTTGAATGAGAATAAAGAAAGTGATGCTGGTGGAGGTGCCCTGACACACAGCCTCAGCCTTTCCTACTAAAGTGTTGTCCGAACCTGCAAGAACAATATTGGACCCCATGTTAAGATCGAGCATTTTTTAATTTGATTAGTTTCAATTCCAGTGGTAGAAGTGTGTGTGTGAGACAAGACAAAAAATGGTAAATGCTTAATGAGAGCAGTAGGAAAAAATATAGACGTTGGTAATAAAGCAAGCATCCCAATGGTTTGTGTAAAATCTAGAAGAGAAGGTGGAGTGAAACAGATGGGTCATTAGGCTTTGAGGCTGTGACATTTGGAAGCCAGAGTTACATTTTCCTTGAAACTGAATAAACAGCTTGGAGATAGTCTATGATCTTTTCTGATACTGATTTTATTCCATTTGACTCGGGGCACTGAAAAGCAAGTGTTGGTTAAATTGTCTTGCTGTAATTATGATGCTAGAATGTATTACTTTAAAAATATTTTGACTTCTTATGTTTGATTTCAGTGTAACTCGGACTTAGTCTTATCTACAGTCCCATTTAAAGACCAGGAATCTTTCTAAGGTTGTTACGAGACCACTCTCTTGGTTTAAGTTCTGTCTCATAGAATAATATTCATGACATATGTTTGCACAAGTGCAGAGCATCTTGGAGCTGGAGGGGACTATAGCAATGTGGAAATAAATGAAGACCCAACAAATGAGAACAGGCAAAGGCTATTTGCTCAGAGCTCACTATAGCAAGGCATTCACTTTCATTTGACGGAGACTCAGAGGCAGGGAGAAGAGTGGGAAAGCAGATATGCCCCAAGTGGAGGCTGTTGTCATGGGGAAGTTGTAGGCAAGCCAAGAAGGAGCAGGGCATCCTATGTGATTGATTAGAGGTACATAGTTGACTTCCTCTAGTTGGTCCTATATTGGAAGCAGGGGCCCAAATTCTGGAAGCTGTCAGTTATTAATCAAGTCCTGGATTTTGGGGCCAACTGTCACACAGGTTATTGTTTGACTTCCTGGATTGGTTGCTAGATACAGTGGTCTGACTTCCTATACATCTGACTTATAGACAGACAGTAGGTTGGTTTCCTGGGCTCCTTCCTGTAGATAGTGGGTGCAGTTCTATTTTTTCATGTGGTCCGGCAATTTTCTGTTTGTATATTCAGCCTCTCAGTGATTATCTAGTCCAAGTGTAGAAAGATTAAATAAATTCATAAAGGATAAATGGCTACAATTTACTTAAATTAATACTAGTTTTTACATATGTTGCTCAGTTTAGTTTTAAAAATATTTTAAAATGTAGCATACTATTAGATCCTTCAGATTAAGTTGGGGGAGTTAGGCAGAGCTGGTATTATCTCTGTTTCATTATTAAGAAAAATGAGGCTCCAAGAGAAGAAATCAAGATCTTAGTTATATGGGTCACTAGCCCATGACCATGACCAGGGCTGCAAAGCTGGGCCCCTCAGATTCCTCACCCAGGGCTACTTATGTATTACAACCTGTTCTCTCTCTGCCCCACAGATTCAGATAATGGGGAACATGTGTGATATTTGGATTATCACACTGCTGAGGGTTGATTAGTATTTGAACCTACATGCAAAGAAAACAGAGTCCAGATTCTCTGAACCATTTCTGTGATTTTTTTCATTATACTCTTTCTCAAAGATTCTTTGTTTGATTTAAACTTTCAACCTGGTGAATTTTACAACTTGTGATTATTAGATAATCAGATTTTTGCAAAATGCTATTAGCTCTGTGCCACTTTAATACATTCATAACACTCGCTTGATTCTCCTGTTCCATTAGGAACATTGGATTTCCTACACCCATCAGAAAGATGCCTGAGGAGTTGAGAAACCTACTAAATTAATTAATTAATTAGATACCCACTGAGCAATATGCTAGGTGCTGGAGGCACCAAATGGAAAAAAAAAAAAAAAAAGCAAGGAACAAAACTCAGTCCCTGCCTTCAAAGAACTCAGGGCCTTTTGAGAAGAGCAGATATGTAGAAAGATGATATAAGACAATGTCAGTGCAGAGATGACCATATCCCAACATGGGGTGGTGATATTGGGGAAGGCTTCAGAGGGTACTTAAATTGAGTAACCAGGGCTGAGGAGAGTCTAAAGAGCAAAGACAAGATATAAGGGTATTCAAAGCAGGGGACATAGGAGATATTAGCTACAGAAAACGGTGTTGTTTTGGTTGGAGACGGAGTGGGGAGGAAGAAGCTGCAACTAATTAGTGATGTTTCTTGAATAAAATGTTCAAGTGGGAAGAGATGAAGTAAGGAAGGGAAGAGTGAGATGGTGGAGAATCTTGTGGGTCATAAGAAGGAGCTTAGGTATAATTCTCTGGATAAGAGGAGGCTTCTGGAAGGATTTTAGTCAAGGGTACGTTCCTGAACAGGTTTGCATTTTTGTTTTTGTTATTTCTTTTACAAGGTTAGTTTTTTTTTTTTTTCTAGGAAGATTGGCCCTGGACTAACATCTGTTGCCAGTCTTCCTCTTTTTTCTTTTCTTACATTTTTTCTCCCCAAAACCCCAGCACATAGTTGTATTTCCTAGTTGTAGGTCATTCTATTTCCTCTATGTGGGATGTTTCCAAAGCATGGCTTGATGAGCAGTGCTAGGTCCGTGCCCAGGATCCAAACTGGTGAACCCTGGGCTGCCGAAGCAGAGTGCGCAAACTTAACCACCTGGCCCGTGTGTTTTTGTTTTTAACACTTCTCTACGTGCATTACAGAATGCTGTCACATCCCTTCCATGAAAAAACACTTGATTGGATTTGCATTTTAAACAGATCGCTCTGACAGTATATGGGGCTTGTACTCTGGGAAGTCAAGGAGAGAGTCAAGGAGACAAGTTGCAATAATTCAAGGGCGATGATTAGAACTTGAACCAGAGCAATTGAGATAGACATGATACAAAGTGCAACAGAAGAGAGAGCAAGATATTCAGAGATAAAATCTGCAGAATCTACTGACTGATGGATTTGGGGAGAAGCAGCTAAAGAAAGGGAGAGACAAGCTTTTAGCTTGGATGGTTGGCTGGACAGGAGGAACCATTAGTTTAGTAAAACATGGTGTCAATGTAGTATCTGAAATGTTAAATTTGTGTCATCCATGGAGCATCCAGGTGGATTCAGCCAGCAGACAGTTAGGGGTGTAAAAAACTATTTAGAAATCGCTAACAGTCAAATGACTGCTAGTTGAATCCTGGAAGATAAAAATCACAGAAAGAATATATATAAAATGACAAGAACAGTGGCTAAGCTAGAACTTTGGGATAGACAGCACGTAAGCAATGCGTGGAGGAAAAGAAGGTATGAATGACACAGAAATGGTGTTAGACATAGAACACAACACAGGAAGATGGGCCATCAGTAAAGCCGAGAGAATTGAAGATATAAAGAAGAGAACAACCAAAGAGTTATAAAATAGCTTAAAAAATGTCTTTTCAATTTGCCAACTAAATGGCACTAGGTGACCTTAACAAAAACAGTTTTAGTAGAGTGGTTGGGCTGAATTCATGTCACCGTAGGTAGCAGAATGGGAATGAATGGAAGGTGAGGAAGTAAAGAGGTTGAGTGTAAAGTGCTCTTTAAACAAGACAGAGTTACTAAAGAAGACTCAAGATTCATTGAGGTTCTCCTCCTCCAAAGAGAAAACTATTTCCCAGCGATATTTACTGGCACACCTTAGAAAAAAGGCCCCATGTTGATCTCCATCCATGTTAAATTTAAACGCTGTAATCTCCAACACTTGTGTGAGTTTCCAAAAACACTTTGAAAGCATTTTAGAAAATCATTCTCTAATTTTTTAAGGGAATCTTGGAAGGATTTGACTTTTATTTAACGGAATGTAATTCTGATTAATACACAGAATCGACAGAGGAACTGAAAGTCCGAAGCCACAGCACGGAGCCATTACCAAAGTTGGACAGCAAAGAGAGAGGGCATCACGGGGCATCTTCCTCCAGAGAGCCTATCAAAGCTCAGGAATGGGATGGAACGCCAGGGCCACCTGTGGTCACCAGTAGACTGGGAAGATGTTCTGTGAGCCCCACCTTGTTAGCAGGAAACCACAGCTCAGGTAAGAAAGATAATGATCTCCCAGACGGTAATTCCTTGTGATTCTAGAAACTAGTTTTAGGCAATTATCCCTTAGAGATCCGTAACTACAGATATCTCTGTCTCTACTCATAGAGATAGCATAAGTAGCTTTTCACACAAATAAATGCAACTCCAGGGAGCATTATTCAAATAGATGACAGAGAATTGAATGGTGCTTCTTAGAGCTGTGCAATGTGGCAGCCCCGACAACTCAAAACATTTGTACTAAGTTTCTTCAGAAGCATCTAGAGAGCTCGTCTAAAGCAGTTTTAATTTATGAAGTTTAAGTGATTTAGAGTTTATGCCTCCTTTGCTTCCAAAAAGATTTAGGCAACTGGAAGAAAAACTGAACAAAAAGTAAAATTGAGGATAAAAATGTAACAAAGATGATCTGAAGGCAGGAGAGAGAGTAGATTTTGGGAGGCGTCTGAAGTGGTGAGCTGAAGACAGTAACTGGGCATTGGGCGTGGTACTCAGTTTCCAAATCTATGTTAAAAGAGAGAGAAAATTATAATCGAATACACCTTTACATTTCACAAGTTGAAATTAAAACCAGCTGTGCAGACTTGCATTGTTAAGAGGTAAACATTATTAAACATCAATTTTTTAAAAGCAGCATATGTTTGCTTTGAACCGATTAATCTACATAATGGACTCACAGAGAGCTGTCACTTGAAATAAACAACGAATAATCAAGCCATCGCCTGTAGTTTTCAGGTTTCTATTCGTTAAGAGTTTTAGGGCTCTGAAGAAAAGACCAATTCTTTAATGTTCTTTTCAACTCTGATCCTCATCGTGGAAAGCAATTTACATGAATTGGGCCTGTGAGCTCTCTGACAGTCATGCACAAGCTAAAATTGAAACAGGATGAATGGTCTCCATATTTGGGAAAGGATGTTTCTAGAACAGTACCCACCCAGAAACAGAGCAATAGTTTCCCTAGACTTGAAATGTAACTTAAAGCTTTGGTGATGGAGCTGTATCAAGAATCAATATGGATAACCAATGCGACAGCGAGTTCAAGTCCGGGAGAAGGAACATTATGTGAATGTAGCAGAAGTGTAAAAATATATTTTTGATAGTAAAGTATAAATAGCTATAGATATATGAGAAGATGATATCTGTGCATTTTCTCAAAAAGAAAAAGAAACAGAGGGGACAAATAGTATTTTGTAAGAAAAAAAAGCCACCCCCAAAGAAGGTTAACATCACTATTCAGTTAGGAATTATGATTAATTTTAGGTTTATTATTAATATTAAAAAATTATCTAATTTTATACCAGTTCTATCCAAAAAACATGAACAATAGCTTCTCCTGTTATGACCAAAGATTATTTTATAAAAAGCAGAAGCATTACTTGAGTGTTTGTTACATAACAGTCACTGTTCTGATCTGAGAGCACAACGACAAATAAGACATCTTTGCATTTAAGTGCTCAAAGTCAAATGCAAGACAGACAAATGGATCATGGCAGTATTATGTATTATATACAAATAAAATGTGAAGTAGAAGAGAAATCAATCAGTTTTTCTTGGGAAGTTATGATTTTGGCAAGAACAATCAGAGGCTTTTCTTGGATAAAATAACAATTACTTTAGGATGTAACGTTTGAAGTAGAGCTTGAAACATCAAGAGCTGCTCCCTAGGAAGATGACAGAAAAGAAGTCTGGCTTCTGGATGAAAACCTAAAGCGCTATGGGATGGAGCCTAGTGTGTTTGGTGTGAGGGATGGGGGAAGATTGACTGAAGAAACTGCAAAGTAGGCCGGGACCCGATAGCAGGCATCCTGAGGGCCTTGTGTATTAGATAGAAATACGTTCAGCCACAAAGTACCAATTAACAGAGGCTTAAGTGATAACCGCCTTTGTTAACTCCTATAACAGCCCATCTGGAAGGAGGCAGCTCCAGGTGTTTTGCAACTGTTGAGTGAGTCATCCAGGACCCGGGAACTTTCTATCCTTCCGACTCTTCTGTTCTGCCACCCTTGACGATGTTTTTCACCATCACGAGCTGTCTATGACACTTCTGGACATCATGCCCTAGTAGACTCTCCCTTTAGTTAGTCAGAACTGGGGAACACGTCCTCTGGACCGATTGCTGAGTGAAGAGGAATGGGATTGCCGTGTGCTTATAGAGGGCCCTTCCTTCCTTCAAGTCAAGGGGCCCCTGCCTTGTACCTGGAAATGAAATCAGCAGTCTATTGGCAGAGATAAAAGAGGATGATGTATAAGCAGTGGACAGTATCTCCCACATCCTGGTGAGGATTTGAACATTATGTGTTGGATATTTTGTAGTCATTTAAATATTTTTAAAAATAGATATAGTATAATTCAGTTTCCATCGTGAAAGATCCAATGATGACTCCAAGGCTTCAAGCATGGGTGACTGGGAGCCCATTTGCTAAGATAGAGATAATTAATATGAGATGTGGAACAAGGTTTAATTGGGAAAAGTCAGGACAAATTTTGACGAAGTTAAATTGGAAGTTCTCTGGGACATCTAACCGAGAAGCTAGTAAACACTTGGAATTACAGGTCTGGAGCTAATGAGAGTTAGTGGTATTAAAGACTGAGACTGGAGACCTTTGGAGTGGTTAGAACCCCAAGACTAGATAATTCTCAACTAGAATAGCAGGAAACTGAGATGGAAAAGAAATGGAGATTGGACCCTGGGGAATCCAAACATTTCAAAGTGTGGGCAAAGGAAGAAGAGCCTGTGAAATAAGTGGAAATGAAACAACTAGATGGCCCACAATTAAACTTTTACTGGATGCTTAGTAAGTTTCATAAAAATAGGTAAACTGTAGTATATTTTTGACACTTTGATCTGAATCTTCTAAGAAATTCAGAGTGTAAACAGAATTTATAACCTACTTTCACTTTCTTCCACTGGAAACTCTTGAAGCATCTCTTTTGCTTTGTGGCGTCTAAAATCTACTCTCCTGAGTCTTTCAGCTCTGTTTGTAGAGCAGTAAATTGTCTACTGACCAGAAAAAAATGGGAAAAATATCTTTAGTCCCTCACACTCTCCATCTTAGACTATGAAGGAAGTAAATAAAGGTGGAAGAAGAAAAGATTTTTGTTGTATTTTCAATAAAGACATTTTTGTGTACATATTAAAAAAAAAGTGAAATGTAGGGGCAAATGTAGTCACTTATATAATGTTGGTGTAAATCAGGGCTTCTTATATGAAAATGAAACCACCAACATGAACACTCAAAAGAGCACTTACATTACTTGAATTTTTAGAAGTCAGTGCCTCCCAAATACATCGCGGAACTTATGTCTATGAAGCCTACCCTTATACCAGTTTTGAGGGAAACAAGGGAGAAAAGGAAAAATGTTTATGTTCGTAGTTTTTATTTTCCTAGGAAGAAAGAACTTAAAATGTACCAATTCTATACTAGAAAATGCCTTAGTTCTGTGAGCAAAAATGTGTAAAATAGAATATCTGAAGTTCCCTCACCTTTGGTGTTTTAAACAAACCATGCACTACTTGGAGAATACTCATCAGTGAGACGGCCTTTGTCCAGAATAGGCAAATAACTAGTGAAGAGAGTATTTTGGACTTGCTATTTTGGGACAATAGAAAATGAGTCATTATTTACTCTTTCTCCTTTTTCACGCTTCCGTTTCAGTATTGTCTCCTTGTCACTGGGCCACTGAACTACTAATTCTCTACCAGAAACACTAGAACTGCAACTGATAGTTCTCTTCCCTGAGTAACAGAGGTACTCAAGTCTACACCTAACACTAGACAGGAAAGAAGATTCCACCTATAAATCTCCCTCTCTCTGTCAACTCTCTGCCTCTGGTTCTTTCTCTTCTTCTCTCCGGACTCTCTCTCTCTTTCCCCCTCCCTATCTCTCCCTTTTTCTCTCCCCTCTTCTCTCTTTCCTCTCCCTCTCTCTCTCTTTCTCTCTCTCTCCCATACACACACACAGGCACACAAACTCCTACCAGTCACAGACTATCGCTTTACCAAAAGTAGTTTAGCCACTTGAAATGGTTGCTCTTAACAGCTCTTTTGAGGAATGGAGGAACTACTGAAGTCAAGCGAAGGAATGTGTCAGGAGATCTCAGTTCTAATTAACATTGCCACTGGTTGCTGTGGTACTTTATTAAAGTCACTGCTGTTTAGTAAATCAGAGATTCTCCAGAGGGTGATTCTTGAAGGCAGTAGAGGACTGGGACTCAAATGCTCATGAAAATAATGGGGAAAAGTGGAACTTACACAAGTAAGTATGGTATTAACAAAAATTCAGATTTCAATCACTGAATCAATCAACAGATAGTTTCCAAGCAGCTTATCCCACTCTGTAATGGTTTCTGGAAAGAAACACACCCACATACGCCATAAATAAGCTACGTAAAACATGGTCTCTGACACTCCAAGATTTTACTGTGTTTCTTTATGACACAAATCTATCAAACATAAATTAATTAGATTATAGTCAAATCTATTATTTTCATTATTATCGACTATTTAGTGTACATTTAGTATCATTTAGAGAATAGAAAATTAGCGTGGGCTTGAAAAACGTTGGTTGGCTTAATGGGAAACATTAAGTCTTAAACCCAGATTACGTCACGTCTTTAAAAAAATCATTGTTATTATCATTAATTAAGAAGAAATATAAACAGAGAACTTTCCACGTGGGCTAAAGAAGATGAACAAACGCTGAGGGGACCTCTCCTGACTTGGCCAGACTGACTGAAGGAGCATTTTGAAAGTAAACTCAGAAAGCCTTGGATTTACCCCATATGGAGTGATCTTAAAAAGACCTCAACTTCTCTGTGTTCAGCTTTGTGTGTTTCTGCTGTTCTGAGAGGGTCCACCAAGGGACGCAAACTGAGATGCCCAGAGGACAGGCAGGTCACGCTAGCGAGTATATTAGGAGAGGTGCCTCCTGCAAAACACACATACTTTGCTTGCACATTACACACATAGGAATGTTTTTTCCTCCCACAAAGGAAATA